TCATTTGTACAATCGTTACATAAAGCTAAGATTTTTGAAAAAAAAAATGAACGAAATAATATTTTTGTTGTTGCTCCTTTTGGGCAAGAAATAGAAATGTTTCCAAATACCACAAAACCAGGCTGTACTTCTGTTAGAGGATTTAATTTATTGTTACTGAGGAGATGGGTCTGTTCATTCATTAACTGTTTCATTAAATCTTTGGATTAAAGTTAAAATCAGAAACAAAACTTTACTTACCTAATGAAGAGAGTACTTCGATAGAGCTGGCGATATTCAAACACTCTTCCATTCCGGGGATGTCTAAATGTATTATTTTGAAATCTTTACATTTAATGGTCAAATAACCGATAGAACCGACAAACTTCTTCTCGATACTATCAATGTTACTGTGCAGCAGCTGAATGTGAGAGATTTGTGTCATGTTTAGCTAGAATAAAGTTATCACTGTATTATGCGTCAGTGTGTCTTTCTAAATTACAGTTATGTTGCTGTAATATTAGGTTATCATGAGGATACTGCAAAGTATGCACAAAGGCAGTACAGTGATCATATCGTTGATATGCAGTGGATTTCAGTGCAATTCTGCACTGCCTGAGAGCAGATAAACTTTGTGACAACCTCATTATTAGACATCTTTTTTCTGTAGCAAAAAATGTCCATGAAAAGACTAATAATAAGATATCAAACAAAGGTATTTGTATCCACAGTCAGCTAGCGTACAAGTGATAATAAATTTGATTAATTTACATATATTTACTATATGGGGGGAGGGGGCACCATTTTGAATACGACTTGAAACTAAGCCGTATTCAAGATGGCTACCCTCATAGAAAATATTGACAGATTAATCAAATTTATTTTTTATTATCACTTGCGTGCCAGCAGACTATGTCTGTATTATACATGTACCCCTTACATTAAGGTTGCAATGTAATTAATAATTTGGCCAAAAATCAAATCTGAAAGATGCAGTATTTGTAATACAGATCAAAACATGACGTATTGCAAGTCATTATTGTCTTCACTACAAGCAATCCCATCATGCATTGCTGCTCCAAATTCTAATTTCATTACAACTAACCTAAGAATAGAAATACCTAATGTTCAATGATCAAAGTTCATTTGAAAGCAGTGGTAACACAAATAAATAGCTGTTCTATAAATCCAAAAGAGATGAACCTAATTACTATACAGTAAATAACTCAAGAGTGTAGTGTGCATCTCAAACTAATCTAAATGGAAATTATGATTTATATTGAATATTGATTTTGTAATGTACATCTTCAATCATTGAACAAAAAATCCCAGAGCGATTCAGAGACATGATGACACCCTAAGATGCTGAAAACTCCACCAACAGCTATTGGCAAGAAACTGATATGAATATCGCAAGTGTTGCATTTATAACAGTACATGTATACTAGGTTTTTTCTAGAATTATATTTTTATATTGAAATTTTAAAAGGGAGCACACCTCTGAAGAGAGTAATTATAGATCCTGACACAGTCCCTCCACAACCGGTTATGAAACGCTGTTGTCAAAAGGTGTGAACGAGCTTAGATCGAGAAACAATGCGTGTTTCAGCCTTCCAGCTGAAGTGATGACGTCATAGTTCACGCTGAAGCGCTCACACTGAGGTTGGTTGTTGGTCGAGTCGGAGAAATCTACGAGGTGTAATAGTTTCTTCAAATATATCTCGTAATTGACGCTATTATTTGAGTTTATTTAGTTGTCAGGAACATCTTGAGTGAATATTAGGTCGTGTATGTCGTTTTTATCCGAGGTATCAAATGATTTGTGTCTGGGAACTTCAGGGGCAGTTTTAGAATCGGTCATTGCATTCGTGTTATGACGATGTCGGTAGTATTGACCCAAATTGTTGACACTTTATCGAATATATAATGATAATTTTTCGAATTATCTTAAATTGAATAGGATTTTACCAGGTTAATTCAGTTTATTGTGTTATAGAACATATATTAAAATTGAAATTGTTTATTTCGCAACTCGTTTGTTTTTTTGTGTGTAAAACAAAATGGCTGCCACTCGGTAGATCGGTTTCATTTTTGAAAACGCTGTGATTTCGTCGCTGATTATATACATATATTCATCAATATTTACTGATAGACAGTATGCTAGTTTTCTGTTCACATTTATTCTTATTTTGTGTATATTGTTTCCTGAAACGACAGCGATTTTGTATTGTCGTCCGTCATTGCTTCGTCCACTGTTGGCTCGTAATCTAAATCAGACTCCACATCGCGGCTTTCCTCCTCTAAATCTGATGGCCAATCGACATTTTCATCGTCAAAATCGACGAAATCATCGTAGGATTTCCACATTACAGTAATATTTTAGAGCGACCACAGAAGTAAAGACTATATGTTGAAACGAATGAAAACATTGAAAGTACGCATGCGCACTAAAGAAACGCAATGCTTTGTGAGAGAAATTACATCATCGGATATGCTAATTTTATGTTAATCTTGGGGAAAGATAGCAGAACGTCCGTATTTTACCGCTAGCGAAATAAACAACGATTAAGCTGTTAAATAAACAACGGTTAACCGAAACGCGCATTGTAACAATAGATATCTGACCGTTTCATAACCGGTTGTGGAGGGACTGTGATCCTGAAAACTCAGAAATTAAGATGGTACATGTATGAACTGTAGAGCATTTTGGTAAGACGGTGCAAGCACAGGGTATGAGGGCACTGCACCCCTGCTCCCCTGTCTGGAAGAACCCCTGCTATACATACCACTTTGCATGTCAAAGGATCCAAAAAAAAGTTTGCAGACAATACACTTTTAATACTGCCTGTCAAAACTTCATAAAACAAAATCAAATTCAATTGTGCATAGACATGTACATATACTAAATGAGGGCACTACCTGCAAACATGATGTCATGTGTAGGAACAGCGCCCTCAGTGTCAGTGCAAACCTTTGAGATAATAGTATGTAGAAAGTACGTACAATATTTATTTACTTACCCATAATTCCTCACTATTAGTCTTCCTGGAGGACAATATTAAGTGATGACCAGTGAGACACAGAGTACCCTCAACAGACGCACGGAATGGATAATGTAAAACCACACCATCTACCTTCGGTGTCTTTATCAGCTCTACAAACTCCATTCTATGAAACTCCACAGACGACCCTGCCAAAATAACAATACGAAAAAGTCATGACATGACACAATCCTCCTATGTTTAAATATTAGGTTATAATGTAGTGCGTGCGCACAATCAATGAATTTCTATTACGTCACTTAAAATGTGTTACAGATTTATTGCTCTGACACATTATTTAGTTATACCGTACTCGACCGCGTTAGCGCCCAGGGGCCTCAACTCAGAAAATCACGATTTTTTAGGGGTGGGCGCTTACCCGAGTACCCCCTCGAAAAAGAGTGCAAATGAAAAATTTGATTCATCAAGTGACAGATTACGTCTTTGAGGGAAATCAAATTACGAAATTAGTTGAGTCGTCATTGATTTTCACAACGAAGAAACAGAAATGATCACAAAAAATATGCACATTTTATTACAATATTAATTACGTACCACCAGAATTTACGAAATTAAAAACATTTGAGTCTGTTGGAACACAGTCGAAGTCAAAATTGTCATATTATCTCCACTGACG